TCATAGTAGTGACCAAAGGTGGGTACTGCACATGGCGCCACCCACTCAATGAGGATTCAACTTTTGACTGGCAATGTTTGTCATGTGAAGTCATGTAATGCATTGGGTGCTCACACGAGTGCTCGTGTGGTGACATATTCTACCTGATGCAGATGCTGACATTCCACTGTGACAATCTGGGTCAGCGATGTTAGATTCTGTTAGACGCCCTCAAGTCCGGACACGTTGTTTAATGTTGAAACCCTGCGGCAGATCAAGTGGGCGGGAAAAGTCGCTCCAACACCTACAACATTTGAGAGCACAACTTTGTTAGACGTTCAACCGCATTTTTTTGACTTACAGACTTTTAATTTTACTTGGGATCCTTATTCTATGTGGATTCTGTACCAAGTCAGTAGGACTGCTCGTCGTATGGCCGCTGCAGGACAGTGTATGCATGTCAAACAAAACCCCCAAGCGCCCGGTGTGGAGGCCCTGCGCGCCGTGCCCTTCGCGCCGTGAGGAAACTCCTCGTTGAAAAGGGCTACTGCTTCACGGGTGGCAGCAGTGAGCTGGAGATCGTAGAGGATATCAAGTGCCAGGACGGGATGTTCAGCTGATTTCAGCTGGGTGAATGAGCTAGTGGACTCTGCTGGCTTGGTGCAACTATCCGAATCCGATCCAATTTCCGGTGACTTGTGACTTGTGTGTTTTTCTTGGAGTGGGAAGATGGGAAGTGCAACAGGTTTCTTCACATCATGGCCCCAAAAAATTAGACTCCTCGCTTGTGCTTGTGGCTCAAGGGCTTGACAAGCGACGACAGCTTCTCACCAACGTTGCAGATGGGTTGGCCAACTTGGACCGGAGCCCTGGTGCACCAAGTAGGTTGACCTTCCAGGTAAGTCATCCAAGGTATCCTGGCGTTGACCCGCAACCACATCATATCTATTCTACACAAAACCTAGGCAAAGGACAACCATTTCCATTCACAGAACTCCTTCTTCAAACAGCTTCAGACAGACAAACCACCTTTCTTTGAGCCTTGGACATTTTTGTTTTGATGCTGATTCCGGGTTTGACATTTTGGGTATCCCGCAGCCATATGGGCAACAGCTCCTATATTGTTTGGTGATGTTTGGTGCGATAATCGCTTCGAGCTTTGTCAAAAGCACCGCAGTCCGGTGTTGTCCGCAGATGTGTTCTTGCTTTCGTTCCCGCCTCTAGAGTGACAATATCTCACAGAATCCTTTCATTTGTGCAGTACTCTAAGAACCAGACAGTCTCAGTCCTCAACAGGGACCCACTATGACCCACTCCACACCCACTCCACACCCACTCCAGGAGTGCTATGTGGCTTTGGATATCCGGACGGAAGAACAGGAGCGTTTGACACCTGTTGCGCGACTCCAAAGCGGGGGACTTGACGCATATAATATATATATATATATAAATATACACTGACAGTTGAGTTTGATTTGTCAACTGCCCGACCGAAACCTCTTGGGGTTCCAGGGCGATTCATAAATCACAGATACAGCACAAACCACCACAGCAATTGGACCATGGGCCGGTCGAACATCAACACACGTGAATCACGTGAATGGACTTTCAAGGATCTCAGCCTGCCTTTTTGTTTCGGTTTCAGAGCCATGTTCCAAGCGGGTCGCCACTCGTCCTCTTCGTCCTCCACTTCTCCGCGAATCCAGGAGATCAAATCCTGGGAACTCCCCTCCGGCGATCACCTCCACATCGGCTCGGAAAGCTTCCGGACACCCGAGCCGCTCTTCCAGCCGGCCTTGATCGGCTTGGAGGACCGGGAAACAGAGGCGATGAGGCCAGAGAGGTGCTATTGTGGGCCACATGCACTACCAATTATGTTCCTTGCTGTAAGAGTGAATAAGAGTACAGTGATTACCAGCAAAGAGTCAAAACTTCATCAACCATGCTAGCATCTATTACTTTTACAGGGTTTTCGTGCTGAGCCTTTGAGCGGCCCATTTCCGCGGGGTGAATGGCGGAGGAGGAAGGACTTCCTCAGCTCTGTCAGCAGGCGATTGTTGCTTCCGACTCAGATTTGCAGGCCAGCTTCTGAGATTATAGAGGGTGTGATTTTTCCTTCGTTTGTCCGTTTGTTTTTTGTGTTTGCAGAAGTCCATTGAACGACAGCCCAGATTCTGAGGTGCAAGTGCAGCTGGAATTTGTAAATCACGTGTTTTTCCGAAACAACCCATTGCCTGCCAGCCCGTACTGGGCTCTTTTTGCTGGGGCTGCTCCGGCCTCAGGCCGCGCTTTGGTCCAATGTGGTCCTTGCCGGTGGCTGCAGTCTCTTGAGGGGCCTCCCACAACGCCTAGAGCTGGAATTGAAGCGCCTGGAAGCGGCAGTGGAGGTGGTAGCTCCTGAGGACCGGAAGCGACCTGTCTCATTGGAGGAGTTTCTTCACCTGGTGCTGATGAGTTTTAAGAAGGGAGAAGGGCTTTGTTGTACTAATTAGTGAAGAACTTGCAATGCATAGCACGGTCGGCAGGTTTACGTACGAGGCAAGTACTTTAAAGCAATTGAATTTGGTCAAGATTGAGGTGCTGAGTATGAATCTGCAGGTTGTTTTGGATGGTGCCTTTGCCTTATTGTACATGTTCACTTCCACAGACTTCTTTCTGTAAAAACTGATGATATGACAAGAACGAGCAACCATCAGTTACGAACAGGCTCCCGCTACTGTGGCCGCTAGACCGCTAGACCATGCGCCTCGTTGCTGTATTTGATAAAAGCATCCTATTGGCAGTAGCGTAGTTTAACATCTATCACTTAAAACCTGTCTTTATGTATATATACATATATATATATACGTTTAGTCTATTTATATATTATAGCCTGCAGTAGATTTTAATGGCGTAGCTCTTTGGTCTGGTCCGTCATTTCAAGAAACTCCGCAGCTGGCAGGGAAGAGGTGGGCCAAGACAAATACGCACACTGCACATCCTGGCCCACGCGCCCAAACACTGCAAAACAAGGGCCGAGGTAATAATATGAACAAGTGCATTACCAAACTACACAGCGATAGGTGGGCGTCGTTCAAACAGCATCGCTAGGAAGCACTCGGTCGGCGTACTTTGGTCAATCAACTGGAGGAGTCCGATGACACCAGCAACATAAGGTTTGTGCTATTTGAATATGGCTGACTATTGTTCTGCATGTGTTTTTGGTGTTCCAAAAAAGTGAGTTGCTGGAGCGAGGCCAAAACGATACCTAAAACAATGTCAAAGCCTACGAACTTAGTTGCTTTGCTAGACCCTGGCCCAGATGCCCGATACTTCCGGGTGGAAGAAGCGGCAACGACATTAGCGTGTAATAAGCAAGTAGCTGCTGTTGTTTCTACGGGTAACGTGATGCAAGATGTTTTTTCCGTGGAACACGATACCGGAACTCAAACCCTAGGTATATATACATATTATATACCTTTCCGGCATGTTCCAGCAATTTCAACTTATATTTTGACTTGTTGATCATCTCATCGCTCAAGTTTGTCAGCGCATGGATCGAAAGAAAGCGGTCCCAACCGTGATAGATGCAACTCCGGAAAGGTGAAAGGGTCGTGCTTCATGTTAGGTGTACAGATACCGGGCAGTGAAGCGTGTTATTACGGTCACATTCTTTTTGTATGTGCCAAATATATGTTTCATTCATGCTACTCATGTCCTGGATCTCCTACTTCCGCCTCCAGATGGGGTACTTCTGAGATAAATGTAATGTTGATGAATAAAGCCGCTCATATCAAGATGTTTGATCATCAGGATTTTGTTGATCAACCGTCCACAGTGGTGTTTCTCTATCAAACATCAAGATCTGAACCTCACCCGCTGGTTGGTGCTGGTTAGTCCTGGAATCCAGATGGCTGGGTTTATGGAGCGTAATGAAGCATAAGGCCCTAAGGCCCTAATGGATGTGAGAGTTTCGGACAGGTGCAGGAAAGGCATGTCAGGGGGGCAAACTGACCTTGTGGTGGAGTTATTCAAGATTTGTGGGCTGAGAGGAAGAGAGCTCGAGGTTTATCGGCTATTTTGTCACATTCGGGCAAGACCACGCACCATGCACGACACGTTTGTGTGGAATTGCCTGTGTCAACCCACCAAGTATTGTTCTCGTCCTTTGTGCGTAGTAACTATTTAGCTTCTTGACAGAGTTGGACAGTTTAAGCAGTTTCTTCCACATCCGAGGTACAGTGCTTGGATCGGTGGATCCCTCATCTCGTCCATGAAGCCATTTGAGAAGATGTGCATCTCTAAAGATGCATATTGCGAGAAGGGCCCAGGAATCGTTGAAACATGTCTTTGAAACGGATGCTGGATGCTGGTACACATCAGATGTGCGTGGTGATATGTGGTGATTATATTTAGCTTGAGAACTGTGCATGTGCTGCAGAAGATCCCGGTCCAACAGATGAGAAGGATTCCATGGAGCGAGCAGGTTTCCATTACCTCGGCGACGATCGCTCTGAGCTGACGGTCCGACTCAGGAAGGCAGAAGATGGCACTGGTAGCACGCAGCGAAAATGGATGGGATGTCCCCCACCCAGAACCGCCAGAACGTTGACGATGTGATGGCCTCCCCGATGCCCAAACACATCAAGACCGCTGCGAACAGTTCGCGTTGGTTCGTGGGAAGGGGGCCAAAGGGAAAGCGCAGAGACGTCCCTGGAAAGCTTGGACCCGACGTTGCAGCTCTCGCGAGAAATATAAATGACGCACTTGGACCTTTGCACTTGCGACATTCATATAATATATGTTTGAATTGAGGGTTTGTGAGTGTTCCTTGGCGTTCGCGTTCGTTGGTTCATTTTAGCCTTGCCTGACATGGAACTGTGCAGATCAACAATAATTAGACCCTCAAGAAGGCCCTTTTAGCTTCATCTACTGACTGTTTCACTTTCCAGCCCAAGTGCGTTCATCCCCAAAAGTGAATGCGGCACCACTTGGCACCAGTTCCACCGCTCTCCACCGAGGGCCGCCGGTCCGGTCCGCAGGCACTGGGACCTACGAGTTCCGCGACGGCGACGGCATCGTGCCGCTGCTGCTCCGGCCCTTAGGCCGCTGCCGCGACGGTGCGATCGATCGGTTCGTGTAGAGCGACACCGGGTCACCGAGTGACCACGAGTCAGGACCAAGACACCTGTGGTTCACCACTAGTGTGGACACATCATGAATCATCATAAAATCATAGACAAAGCATAAAATAGCTGAGAAGAAGTCCGGGGAAGAAGTCCGGGGGGGAAGGAAGCGGGGGAACAGGTTCTTCCAGCGGTCCATGTGTTTCACTTCAATGATGGCATTTCAGAGGGTAGAACGGCAGGCTTTACATCCCATGATATCCCATGTGAACTTTCCTGGAAAAGTTGGATCCACTGGTGGTGCACCTCACCCTTGCACCAGATTGGACCATTTCTTCAGAGCATGTACGCAGCAGGATGTCCTATTTAGATACTGTATGTTATTTTTTTTGCACTGCACTGCTTCATTTTTGACCTGTCCGAAGCTGAGACCAAATTCCAAAGAGACTGGACATCGTATCTTTTTGCTGGATGGGTCTACATAGTCTACATTCTACATGTTTCCCTGTAGGGCTTGGCAAAGTGATCAATGGATATCAATGGATATTTAGATGTTCTGTCACAGGCTTGTAAACTATTTGCCCACGCGCATTGTGTCGACTCCTGGTTTCGTTTCGTCATCAGGGCGCGCGGGCGGATGCAGTGCCACGGCTGCCAGCTTTCTGGCCAGAAGCCTCAGGGGAGTGGACCGGTGTCCCTGAAAACCCGTTCAAAGGCGGAAGCCAGGTGGTCATCATTAACATCAAAACGTGTCACACACCTGGTCTACACGTTTTTTGGAGCCCCTGCAACCCCACATGCCCCAACGTTTCACTAGCTTGCCTTTGAGACTCCGCTTGGTACATCACACCTCAGCTGAGGCTGGTGAAGTCCTTTCCCGCCTGGAGGGCTTTGACTTCCGAGGCGTCTACCGAACCGTCCGGGTCCGTCCGGGTCGGTCAATGCATCGATGGATTAACCCACCACTCGGTCAGTGACAGTTCGATCTGCAGCGGAGCAGGCAATGCCGAACACGGCTTGATCGCGGAGAGAGTGGGTGCCATGTTGCTGGAGGCCTCAGTTGCGTTGCGTCTAAAGTCGCCTTTGGCATGCAATTGAACCAGCATGGTATGTATGTATAGCTGCATATGTGTGCCAATATGTTTAGCTATTGTTTGCTACAAGGTGCTACAAGTGTGTGTGTGTGTGATCAAAGGTGTGGATATGTGACATATATATATATATTTCATTTGCCAGAAGGCGGAAGAAACTAGGCTCCTGTAAACGCTTGTGTTCCGCTTGTGAAGGGAATGATAAGAAGAATTGCATACGCAGAACCAAATCATTTAGGCATCTCAGTATAGAATTAGCACCTGAACCCTGCAGAGCCCAAGGCCTTTCGAAGACACGAATCATCCAAAAACAATCAAACACCCACATCCGGTTGTGTGGCAAGGCACCTGAGAATACCGCAGAAGCCTCATTGCAGATGTTGCATAATGGTTGGTTGGCATTGCCTAGGCAAGCTCTACGATACCGTCGCTTCCTTTTTGATCAAATCAGATCCAAGATGCATGGATCACGATGACGGTCACTCGCTTGGGGAAAATATTACTTTGCTTAGAAGATGTGAAACGATCACGCCAAAAAGCGGGTTGATTCCAGTTCCATGCTTGTTGGATGTGAGGCACGTCCGTTCTTTCGCCTCAGAGGTGAGCCTGTACCGGTCTGTGGGGTGCACCCGAAAAGGGAAACCCTTTTGGATCGAACCACACGACCTGGGTTTGGGCGCACCGGGTTGAAGCCATGCCATGCTTTGCATGCAAAACGAGCGGGCACATGGGACGAGCTGTTCGAGCAGTCTCTCGAACAGCACTTGCTCTTGTCCTGGACTAGCAAGGTGAACTGTTCCTGGGGTCCTGTGTTTGCTTCTTCACTTTAGGGGATGCTAGTGTGTGCCAGTGGCCTTTTTTGCAGCTGCCCTTATGTCCTCAATCAATCCATTGTGATACACCATGCCCACGTCGATCAACAGTTGCAACTTGCAGTCTGGAGGATGCTTTATCAAACCTTAGAATCTTACATATCTAATATCGTCCGATCAAAGCTTCTCAAGACCTAAATTGCCTCAAAACCGATTCTTGTGGATAAGGTCGTCCTAGACTCTTTGCTGTGGCTGCAGCTCCTCCGCAGCATTCCGCACATGTTCTGCCAAAAGCATTGGAATAGTGAGTGGCAGAGGATATGCATACAGATTGATGTTCATGTAGTTTATACAACAAGGTGTGGACCTTGTCCCTGGGCTCAAGAAATAATGATGTCAAATTGCATGTCACATGTTGGTACTTAGGTGCATGCCAAACATCAAAAGCAGGGGCAGGATCACAGTGTTGCGGTACCAAATCCTGCACCCATGTCAGCTACATTCCAGCTCCTCTCAGCCACGCCATATTTGACACCTTGATCAACCAATGGATATACAGTATACATGGATCATCAGGGATATGTTTTGTTCATTGGGATTGAGAAGAGGTCCACACTGTGTGGCAGGAGAATCTGCGAACAAACTGGTAGGATTCGAACCACGCCATGCCGCAGCGTTGGAAGCTGGAGAATCTGCTGCATGCGCCGGCAGCACGCTATGATCATGCAGCTGCATGGGATGGAGCGCAGCGAAAGCTTTGGGTGCACGGTGGCTGGGATGGATTGGATGGATTTCGAGACTTGGCACTGCCAGAACACCCGTCTCTGACGGCGGCCTGGGCATGTGGAGACTGACACCAAATGACCTAGAAAAACTACAGGTCTAGTTTGACATCATTGATATCCTTTGGTTGCAAAAGCGCCCCCACCCCACGGCGATCCATGTTCCGTGAGGATAGCCATCATGTTCTACAAGACTAGCACCGATTCAGTGAGAGAAGTACCTCACCCCATGAACAGGACTAGCGGCACTTGCACTGCCACAGGGCTCCTGATCTCAGGTGAATAGTTCAACAGTGCGAAAATGGTCTGGAATCATCCATTTCATGTTTCCCGATCCATTTGATTTGAACGCCAATGAATTATCAACGACTCAGTTTACGTCAGTCATTTGCTTGCCATCTCACCATCCCCCCACGAAGACAATTCGTTTGGTTCTGTCCCAGTGCTTTTCGCTTCCACACCGTTGGGCCGCACCCTAGCCACGAACTGGTTTTGCTGGGAGACTGCAGGTTCACAGGTTCACTTCTCAAACCACCTGTCTCTAGGAAACATGATCATGCCGGGCCATGCCAGTGGCCATGCCATGGACTTAAGCCATGATTCTTCCAGGGAGTGTTTTCCCTCTAGATCCCGACAGGGACCAACTTGCGCTGGGTGTCTCAGGAGACCTTTGGAGCTTTGATGTGCTTCAGCACCGCTGGAGCCTGGTCCCCATGAGCATTGGCGCACCTACGCAGCGCTGGTCGCATGTGGCTGCATGGGATGGGACCTTCCTTTGGCTTCATGGTGGTTGGAGCTACCTGGCTCCTTCTGGATGGTTGGTGAGAGTGATGACCAGGGTGACGGTCTATTGTGGTGGGGGATGCTAGTTTGGAACATTTATGGGAATTTGATGAAATTTGTATGGGGCAAATATGGTTGGTTTTGCTGCCATCTAGGCAAGACGCAGATAGCACCAGTTCTCTTCCCACAACACATCCGGGTATCTTTGCGTACGGACAAGATGAAGGCCGTTCCACGCCCAGGTTCCACGGGCAGTCTACGAGAGCTCTGGAAGTTCGACCCGCTCCTAACCCTGTGGTCGCTGCTGTCGGACGCTGGGCCGGCAGCACGCCATGACCATGTGGCGACCTACGCGCCTCGGAGCAGCGAATCGGACGGGGCGGAGGGACAGTTCTCACTAGCATTGACGGGAAAACCCGACAGCAAGAGTCCCACCCTGCTATACCCATGCCTACCCAAATAGAGCTCTTCCGGTTGCCCTTCCTGAAGAAAGACATCATAAGACAAATCCACGAACAAATAGAGGAGCGCGCATGGGCTCCAGATTGCATTTGGCTTCGAAGTGTTTGCGCAATAGATTCGAGCAAAATCACAATGTCCAGTCCGAGAGTGACGACACTGTGGAGGAAGGAAGAAACGAGAGAGACAGAGAGAGGGAGGGAGGGAGGGAGCACTGAGTTGAGGGAAGCTGGCTTGGTAAGATGAACATGAACGTCGGGTGACTTGACCCTCCGAAGCGGTTAGAATCTTGTGAGAGTACTTTGGACTTTCCCTGGAATAGCTGAGGGAGATGAGATGTGATTTTGGACTATCGAGATGGTCCTTGAGTCCTTGCTGGTAGAGCGGCTGTAGATTCAATTTGCATCAATTTGCTATACAATTCTTAGCGGTATCAACTTGCTGGCTGCAGGGATGACTCCCTTTAGATGAGCCAGTGGAGCAGCAGATTGCGCCCATTTGGAGCCAGCAAATGCCAGTGGCCCTACACCCATCTACACCTGACAATTATCCGTTATGGCAAGTTCCTTGCTTTTCGGGTATGGGCACTATATACTGTACCCACCCGGCGCCGAGGATGAAATCGATCACAGCCTTTTGGTGCACGGTGGTTGGGATGGCGACCAGGCACTGAGTTCGGTCTGAAAGTTGGCTGGACATGACGAGGCATGCCCAGGATCGTATTATCACGATGAACCGCGGTATATTTATTTTATACGTTTTATATGTATATAATAACTTATGCAACATATATAATACTTACAGTAATAGAGACAATAATAACTATATGATACCATGTCAGGTGCAGACCTTGTTGATTTAGTCTAATCCTGGAGGCATGTGCGTTGCTGAAGTTCAGTTTTGTTGAGGATTGCCAGCATGTCCGTAAGTCACAGAGAAAGAGGAGATCAACAAATACCAGCTACAAGGAATGTGAAGCAAAGATTTGCGAACATAGTGTCGGGCTCCAAAATAACATTGGAATTTGCTGTCAAGTCTTTTCTTGAATTCGTCATTCGCAAGGCGTACTTCACTGAACTTCACATCCCCAGATATATAGACTCTTCGAGTCCCTCGGTCTGGCTTGCGCACCAAGATCCCTTCTTTCTTGAACCTGGGGTGCCCAATGTTTCCAAAGGACATGGTGCACATGCACATCAGTCTTGATTTTCTCCATGTTTCCTCCAAAGGTGATGCTTGCCATTTTTCGCACGGTACAGTGGAGATCGGTGCGATTTCTTCGCTCCATGTTTTTTTGTGAGTGGGATATGTGACTCCTACCTCCACCTCCGCAACGGACGGTGCCAACAGAACCCCACTCCGATCCCCAACGCCCGACCGGACCGGACCTTCGCCAGGTCTTTGGTGATCTTTGGAAATTCCAGGAGCGCCTGCGCCGCTGGAGCCGGGTGAGCGAATCGGTCGAAGCGCGCCCTACCGCGCGCTTCGACCACGCAGCGGCCTATGACGCGCAGCGACGCACGTGGTGGTTGCACGGGGGTGGCAACGGTGTGGAAGGTCCGGAGTGCGGAAGTTGGAATGCGTCAAGAGATGGTCGCAATGGGTAGTAGTTGTTTGTTTTGGAAGGTGTGTTCTTTACATACATGGGATGAACTTTAAAAGATGATGTGCTTTTTGCGGGCTAGTGTTGTAAATTTACCACAGAGAAGCACTGAAGCCCTCAAGAGACCCTAATGAAGTAAACCCCGCAAGCCAAACCCAAAGAAACCCTAGAGAGTAAAGAAGTGAAGTTCGCAAGCCAAACCCAGAGAAGCCCTGAACCCGCCAGCCGAACCTAAAGTAGCAAAGTTTGGATGCCAAAACCAAACATTATAAATAAAGACTAAAGACATGAAGCCCTAGAAGCCCAACCAAAAGAAACCCTGAACGAAGTGAGACCCGCAGACCCAGCGAAACCCCGGCAAGACAAGCCCAAAGTAGAGAAACCTAAGCCACAACTAGACCAAATGACTAAAAATGCGATACCCGAACACCCGGAACATCACCCATTTGAGTTCGAATTCAATGTCGAGTGGGGCACACTATGCAAAGAAACATGCCTCAAGAATTGTCCAAAAATCTCAAGATTTGCGCCCAAACCGCGACGGCTCAGGGGGATTTGATCCAGGGGCCCCCTTTGTCCAATAGAATCTCTTTTTACAGGACCAAACTCAATGCATAATCGCGACTCCAGATTGTAATACAGTTTTGCTAAAGCAAGGAGAACTCAAGTAGCTCAAGCTACCTTTCGTGATTATGGTCCTATGGTTGTTAAGGGTCCTATCATGTCCTATCCCTCCCTCCCTCCCTCCCTCCCTCCGCTTCTTTCATGGCCGTCTCTTCTTTACTTTAGGGTTTGTTGGGGTGGCCTGCCAGCCGGTGTTCGGGTTCTTTGGCGTAGGGCTTTACTACTTAGGGTTTCCTTAGGCTTGTCTTGCTTGGGGTTCGCTGGGTTTGTGGGATTTTCCTGGTCTCACTTCAACTTCTTTATGGTTTCTGCAGGCTCGGCTTAGCGCTTCACTTTTTGAGAGTTTCTTCGGGTTGGTTTGGACGGAGAGTTGCGGGGTATTCAGGGCTGACTTCTTTCAGGTTCTTTTAGGCTTGGCTGAGGGCTTGACTTCTTTAGGGTTTCTTTGGGCTTGTCTTGCTGGGGCTTGTGCTTCACTACTTTAGGGTTTCTTTGGGCTTGTCTTGCTGGGGCTCAGGGCTTCACTTCTTTAGGATTTGTTTGGGTATGACCCGCAGCCGCCGATTCCATCTCGAACACGGTCTTTTTCTGTGGGAATCGCATACAGGTTGACATGAGCCACCGCCAAATCACGGGCAATGCCTAAGTCAGTCAGAAGCGCTCGTACCTCTTGAGACTTGGAATCACCCCTTGCGAGCCTCTCTCCTTCCCCTCCCGCCCATTTGCTACCTTTCGTTCACCCTCTCCTATCTCAAGTGGGTTCTAGGAGCCACCCTTTGTTCGAGTCGTTTGCGAGTGATCTATCACAAGCCCTTTTCTTTCTGGTTGTTGGCCCGTTTTGACATATATATATAACACACATAAGATACTACATAGTTATTTATAGTGAATTATTCTAGTGTTTTTGTATAATTATTCTGGTATTTACACACGACTCGTTTAAGTTTCAGTCTACTTGGTTTCCTGGGGCCCTAGGGGCCCTAGGGCCTCTCACCGCATCAGTGTGCCTTACCCTATCCCAACAAAGATCAACAAAGGAAAGTCAAAAAGAACACATATTCTATTGCTTTTAGATGTCTCAGCAATTTGCGCATGACATTGGTCCATGTGATTCACCCCATTCGTCGGTGTGCTGAGCAGTCTGAAATGCTGGGGGCGGCCCTCCTCGCAGGGTTCACTGACCTGTGGGCCCTGGATGTGCCAACGCTCCAGTGGACCCAAGTGGCCCGTGGCAGTGGGCCTTCCACCTGGGAGACTTGGATTCCGCCGGTGTGGCTGGTGAGCGGAGGCGGCAAGGAGAGTAATATGTTAGTATGGACTGCAGCGACCCAGCGACCGCAAAGTGGAGGATTTGTTCGCAACATTCGGAACTCTTTTTCCCTTTGCCCAAACTGCCATGACATTGATTCTCTCCCAATGTTTGAGCCACCAACGGCCCTAAGACGTGGGTGATGGGGCAGATGGGCTGCTTGAGGCATGATGGGTTGCCATGGGAGTTCTATATCTTTATATTTGATGTATATATGTTCTTTTGGGTTCTTGATTGGATGGGATGATTCCCCTGCAACCCGGATGTTGTTCATCATGATGCACGGACGATTGTGTTTCGCACCGTTGATCAAGTCAATGTTGCTGGATTCACCGATCGCTTGGTCCTGCGGATTCTGTTGTCCAGACTCCCCGGAAGCGGGCCTTCGGGGCCATGCCATCCACCTCCATGAGGATGCAGAGTATGTTGTGGTAATTTGGGGCTGGTACCCCACTATCAACTCAGGCCAATTTGTTTGCACTATTGACTATTCACATCTATTCACAAGGAAAGTTGCCTTGAAAAACTACTTGATAGGGTGCATGCACTGTATCTAAATGATTTTCCAACTGGACAAGTACTGGTAACACTGTACGAGTACGTCATTGAAAAGCTGACCAGCAAGAACATGCGTCCCAGGCGTTTTGATCCTGCAACTTGCCCCCGGGTTTACGCTAGGAACTGTGGGGAGGTTGTCCTACAAAAGATTCGGGGCATCCTTCATCAACACCCCCTCCCAAAGATTCCGACAATATATCTAACATGGCGCATCCTTGCCCCCTGCAAGAGTGTTCATGAACTCCATGGAGCTTTTACCCCTCAAGTTTTGCCTTTTCACACTCTTCCTCCGCGTTGAACACAGCTACTGGCCACCACCTCCGGCAGCTCAGGACCACGTGTGTGCCTGGGATCCCGTCGGCCGTGCGCTGTGGATCCATGGAGGTTGGGGCAGCGATGCCGCTTTGGAGCAGCGAAGCGTGATAACGGTGGGGTTGTGGTTTTGTGTCAATGACGGTTAATGTTCAATAGACGGATGTGCATGCGGATGTTTGTTTTGAGAGTGGGTGCTGAGTAAGCGGACATGGCAAAATGAACTGTACAGTACATAGTTCTTTTTGGCTCATGCCGTTTGAATCCATTTGATATGTCACCGCAAATGATGTTCACCGAATCGAATTCCAACTCCTGAAGCAGCTGATAAAGCAATTGATTTTGTGCTGCTGGTGCTGCTGAGCACTTGATCACCTACCCTGCTACAGTTCCGACGACAAGTGCCAGTACACATGGTGTTAACAAGACCCGGTCGGTATATAATTGTTTAATGAATTTATGTATATATTCAAAACACTAAACATAAAATATGTTAAGTATTATGAATTTACAATAGCACATATATACACTGTGTAATTAATATACTGTAACATATTTGTGTGTGTGGGTGTCGGCCCTTAAAACTTGGAGTGCCAACCATCTACAACACGCGTTTTTCCTATCTCAAAAGTGATCACTTGGATTCCGGGTTTCTGGGTTGTGTGTGTAGGGACGCTACATCAAAATATACACCTGCAAGTCTCCTGTTTCACGGTCTGAGGACTTGTGGAAGTTCGACGTTGAGGCGAACCACTGGAGCATCCAAGAGAGGGGCGGCTCTCCACGCTGGGACCACGTGGCAGCACTGGATACTCATGGGCCAAATGCACCCATGCTTTACATCCATGGTGGCAGGGATAGCAACAACCGCCCTTATCCAGGACGGGGTGAAACACTGCCTTGTACAACGTTCAGATTTGACGCTGCGGCAAGAATCTCCCAGCCACAGATTGTTGTGACACATGCAGCCCCTAGGGCCCTAGGGGCACTCGACGAGTAGAGGTCAGCTTTTGACATACCCCACCATTCTAGGATGTTAAGCAGCACACCACACGTAAGCATGGATCACACGGCAGCACCAAGCCTGGTGATTTTTTGAGGTTTCATAGGGTTGTTTCTGAAATTTGCTTGCTGAGTTCTTTAGCTGCTGGCGGGGAGTGCAGGACTGGTAGAGTTCCAGCTGCAGCCCACAATGGACTGCCTCATGCCTGGCCAGCTGCTTTCGATGGGAGGCCTGGACACCTCTTCCACTCCTGACCAGACTGGGGCGAAGAATGTGTTGGGATTTGGGGACTCGCGGGCTGAGGTCGATTTCTTCAGGCACAGACCAAGGTCTTAATCAGGTTGATTTGATCAAGAGCCCGGGCAGCCACCCATAGCAACCTTGGCACTTTAGACTTTGCATTGCTGGTCATGCAACACAGCTCCTCACAAACACCAAGAGAGAGCCAAAACTGCAGTTTGAACTTCAAATCGTAGTTCTCAATATTTACCTGTTCTCAAGGATCAGACCATGATCATTCGTCATCCATTCCGTCATTCGGCTGGGCGATTCCCAAGCTCGACCTTCCGACCTTCTAGAAAGGTTGGCACCCATTTTTGCCAGCGGTTTTGGTCCGTTCAATGACCTTCAACTTTGTTAAAGGATGAGACGTGCAGCAGAGGGATGTCATTTTGTGTGGTGGAGCCTTTTGGACTTGTGGTGCTTTTCTGGAATTTGGCTGGCCACTTGCCCTGTTGCAGGTTCTTGGACATGTCCAGTGGCGGCCATCACTTTCATCTCTGCCCCTCGGCTGGGTCTTCCACTTGACGGCGGCGGTGGCGCAGCTATATAGGGCATCACACAGACAACAATGAATCAGGGTCGGGATTCATGATACATCATCTAGCGATTGGCCCCCTCCAATTGTGCTTTGAGAAGAGGCAAGGCGGCAAGGTTGCTCGAAAGGTAAAGAAATGGCCGTCCCATGTCTTCTACCTTGATTGAGCAAAGCCTCCTGTGCCGAATGTGTTTTCATAACATAACATCTGACAGCTGGTTGCTCGTTGGGGTTGTTTGCCCGATTTCTGTGTCAAACTACTGTTGATGCACTTGGCACAGGTAAGCGGCCAAACCACCCCTTGCCGATTCGCTACATGCCGTTCTAGATTCTATATAGTCGGATCATGCTGGACCCTAGCATTAGCAAAAGACAGCCTTGTGTGTTTGACAATGTTTTATTCGGTCGGAGCTAATGACTACCTGCTTGACAGCAACTGATAGACAAATAGACAACTGACGGTTTTTACTATGGTTGAGTATTGGCTGAGTATGTTCGTTTGCATTCACATCTTCATCTTCCGAGCCTTCAGGTCTTGGTGCTCATGGCCTTCGCCATGTGCACCGCCTCTTGCACGGACTGGCGCTTGCGGTCGCAGCGCCTTCATGGGGGCGATGGCGCCAGGACGAAGGATGCGTGGGACGGTTTTGGGGCGGTGACGGGAAGTGTCCAGAGAAGGGAGGAACTCGGAGGAACCTTCAAGCTCGACTTGGTCCAGCTTCACATATGTTTTGTCCACATTTTTTGGTATAGAGGAAGCCATTGTGGGTAGTAGATCCCTTAGATGGACAATATTTTTCTATCATCGCCCAGTCTCCCTTTGAGCCAGGCGGCCTCGCTGGGATGCTTGGGGCGTTGCGTCAACGAGCTGCTGCGTCACGTGCAGGCGATCCAACTTCGGGTGCTTCCTGGAGACCTGCAGACTGCATCCTGGCAGAGCTTGAACGGATTCCTCTGGGGATTTGGGTGCACATCGTAGATTCTGTGGTATTGAAGCATTGAAGATTATTGAAGTACAGTATATATATATGTATAGCAACATAGTATTGTAGAAGTCTAGTCAAGAAGTATTTCCGGATTCCCCACGATTTTTCAGTACATAGATGTCCCAAGCCGAATGATGGCATTTGTTCTGGTCAGTCTTCCTGTGATTCATTAGCAGCCATGACCAAGCCTAAATGTCTTAAGCGGCTCTTCCACAAGGTCATGGAGTCTGTGGATGCCAAAGGCACTAATTGCTGCTCAGTCGGTCGTGTTTGTTCATGGAAACCATCAGGAGCTGGGGTTCCAGCAGTCTCTGGCAGAGAGAAAAGAGAGTGAAAAGAGACAGAGAGAGAGAGAGAGACAGACAGACAGACACAGAGGGAGGGGGACAGAAAGACAGAAAGGAAAGTGGGGCGCGGCGTGACTCAACAGCAAATGGGTGCAGCAGCTGCAACAGCAGCTGAAGCAGTAGCACGTAAGCAAAAATTACGTAAATGATACGAAAAGAAGACAAAAGATAACGAAAAAGAGAGGACTCCAGGCAGTTGTCGTTTGCCACTTGCGGGTGCAATCCTGCTTCAAGATAAGTCAGATGTCGGTTTTCCAGATGTGATTCAGACATATGAAGAGCCCACCCAAGTGCTTGTTTTCGGAACCAGGCAGCTTGATTGCCAGGTGACTGGCGCAGGTGAACCAGGTGTTTTTCACCCGGATCTCCAAGGTTCGGTCGATGATTCCAACGGGTAAAGACCATCAGGTCCTGACGCACCGACAAGCTTTCAGGACCATCCAATGGGTGCCCTATGGAAGCCCACAAGCATAAGTAGTGTAGCTACCCCTTGGATGGTCCAAGTATTCATGAAGGTATATACAGTACCATTATATACCCAGAATAGTACGGAATACTGAACATATCGCATAACTTGGGTTCTTAGCTCCGGGACTGCGGAACACGAGGAACCTTCAGACACAAAGGTGTGTTTGGGTTGGTTCCCAAAAAGAAAAGGATCAGGGTACCACCACAGTAGAGCGCAATTTGCGTATTTTCTACCTATCCATTATATCGTACTACAGTATATACTATTTTGTACTACTACCACTACCTCGTTGTTTTAATGTTGGTGTTGGCTGTTACTTGCTTGTGCTAAAAATCAAAGCCTCAGCATGGCGATTCCCTTTGCATTTGCTCTTTGTGTGACATAGGTCACCCCGCAAAAAGGCTTTGAAACAAGTCAATGTTTTGAGGGGCAGATCCTGAGAGATGGACTTGGTTTTGTGTTGCTTTGGTTTTGGTGACTATATCACGAAAACAGCAGATGCAAAGGGAACAGGCAAACCAAAAAAGGATACCAAAACACATCCAAACCTTCAAATATTGAATCTCATTCATGTTCAAATGCACTCACAAATTAATTTGGAAGCCTTTTGCCCTTGGATGAAATTGACTTTCAAGTTGAACTAGAGAGTATGGCAAGTTTATTTGAACATTTTACATCATCATATTCATGAGTTATGATGTTATCATATTATCCTTTCATAGATTACTATGTAAAATAGACATGCATATTCATATCGCTGAACATATGTATAATAGATCTATTTTCTCTATATATATACATACATTTACCACGATTTATAATGAGGTAGAAACTTTTCAGAAACAAGAAGCATGTGCTCTACCACAGTCGCCAGCTCTCAAAACAAGGTTTGTGGAGCGCGGTTTTAGGGCTGTAGGCGGCAAACCCTACACAGCCCGGCGCCAGTCCAAGCAGGCCGAGTTCCAGAAGAATGGCAGAAGGAATTGAGCGACCAGAACTTGCGCCTCAAGTACAACGAGCTCACAGACAACTTCCTGCAGAGCCTGAGTTTCAACGACATGTTCTATATATAATTCATTGGCCATATCATCCTTAGAGTCTACAGTAGTTAGGGCATGCTTTGAAACCTCTGGTAGGGCCCTTGTTGGACACACTGGGAGTTCTTACTTGGAAGCATCCAAGGTTACCCTATTCTGAGCCAAACTCATTTGATTAGATTGGATGATCAGCTGCAAACTTGTAACCTCTCCAAGCTGTTGCACCAACTCAGGAGGGGTTGCTTCATTTTTCTTTGGCGATGGATGATCCTGTTCCTGTCCATTCATCCCTGGGTGAGAGCTTGCTGTTTGAGTTTTAGCATCTCGCATCTCGCAAGAGTGGCCTCGAACGTGAGCCTTGCCAGGAATTGAGCTGGTTGCCAAGGCTTTGTTTTGCTTTTTTGCACCCATGCCGACTATAGGTCCAGAAGTCTTCTTGGAATCTTGAAGACTAAAACCACAGCCCAGAAAACTGAACCCGAAGAGTTGGGTTAGGAGCAGCTCCTTGACCTTCCCAGCAGCCCTGGTGGCTGTTGCTTATGCCGCGCGGCCTTGGGAGGAGTGCGCCCCCTCCAGCGTTCTGCAGAAGCTGGGCAGATCTGTGAATTTTAGGGCGGGCTTTAGTGGTGTTCGTTGAGAACGATTATATACATGGTCACCACTAGGGCCACTAGGGGTAGGTTGCAATGTACGCTCAGTTTTCCGCTGTCATTTTGGTTTGTCAGGGCCAGCAAGTACTCTTGAGAATCTCCGCACCCAACTGTGTTTGGGACACTTTTATATACTGGAAGAACACCGCTGGATGTGGGATACCACTCCCTCTTTGCGTTTATTTGCTGTTTGATGCAGACCGGTAGTCAGACCGGTGTGCTGCACCTACAACCGGTCTACCGGATTCAGGGGGTCGAACGATGCGAAACCCACCTGACCGCTTTTCCGCTTTTCCGACCCTGAGGGTCAGAGTCGATGTTCACGGAAGGGAAGGACAACCTCATGGAAGAGAAACATACCTTTCTTGGATCCAGTTGTTTTTTTGCGGGTTTCATGTGTTCGACTGGACCGAACTTTTGCTATATGTCCTGGCTTGGCTTTGTTTATCACGAAAGCTAGCGAAGCTAGCTGGAGTTACTCTTGCGATAGCAAGGTTTCTTTCGACCGGGTGCAAATCCTAACCCCTGATTTTTCAGGTCTCCCCACCTCCCCTCTCCTCCTCCTTGTCTTCCTCCCATCTTCCCTCCCTCCCTCCCTCCTCCCTCTTCGCAAGTTCGACTCCGTCCTGTCGTCGCTCTTTGGCATGCGGTTAGCGTTGCGTATCTTGCGGCCGCACTCGCTCACTCTCACTCTCACTCTCTCACTGTCTCACTGTCTCTCTCATCTCTCTCATCTCTTTCTCATCTCTCTCTCCTCTCTCTCTCTCTCTCTCCTCTCTGTCTCTCGTCTTTCCGTCTCTCTTCTCTCTCTTCTCTCGCTGGAGGATCCGGGCAAAGAGCCACATATAAAGGACTCTTCACCCCTGCCTCCAAAAAGAGCGCCGTGTTTTTTCCTACCTCGCTGCCCTCCACTTTCCCATTCTGGAGCGCTAGCTTTCGCCCCCCCCTTGGCCTCAAGTATAATATATGATGTGCACTTGAAATTTGGTTGCCATGTGTCACGCTCATTCAGGAAGGTCTTCCTTGGCGTTTGGATTGCGCTGGTGTCATTGCTCCCTGGATACCTACTTTGGTTGCCCAGATGCTTCGCAAAAGGCATTTGCATCCTGCTGTGTCAATGCATCTTCTGGCCTCCTGGATTTTGCTTCAGATCTTTGGATTGGATCCTCAAGGGGGCTTGGGATCGTGTCCATGCGAAAAAACACGTGGGCTTCTCGTGGGCTCGGTTCGTGCCCCAAGGCGGTCCCATTCCACACTCCATCCAGCCACCCAAGCCAGCGCTGAAGGAGGATATATATAATCTCTATGTTCAAACGTATTTTATCATGTATTGTTATTGTTATTATTCTTTTTGTTATTGTTATATATATATATATATTCATATATTATTTATCGTCTATCCATCTCTATCCATCTACCCATTTCGCATATTCATCCAGTTATCTCTCTACTTGTCTATCTATTCAACTATTTGTTAACACATATGCATCATGCACATATAGAGACAGATGAAGCAAGACAAATTCCAATAGAGCCATGATTTGCATGCTGGCACCCGAAAGATTTCGTTATATACGTAAGCATCAACTCGCGGCCGGCTGCAAGGGGAGGCAGGCCATTGTGTTTTGAATCTTTTTCGGGGAGGGCCTATATAACTTGCGCTTTTGCTGAGCTTTTGCTCTCTGTAGTGGGAAGAGCAAAGCATGCTGCACACGGCAATGCATGCCGGACGCACATATATACATACATAAGTATACATAAGTCCGTTATTTGCAGCACGCATGTGTGTAGATGCACACCTTGGGTCATTGTGTCTAACCAGTTTATGCTATGCACTAAACAGGTGCATGATACAATTTGTTATAAATCGCTCTTTTATGCTCTTTTTCGGTGATTCAGATCTGCCTGTGTGTGCTAATAATGCATCTCGATGTGCTTCGTGTGGGTGCAGCCACAGCAACTTTAGTTCTTGGAATGTGGACAATGAAGCTGGCCTTGTGCCAGGCATGTCGTTTTTGCCATCGGGATGCATTTTGACTGGCATGAACCAGGTCCTGATTGATCTAGGACATTGTTTGCACTTGTGCATCATGTGTTTCTTGGAAGTCAAGGTTCTTGCTCCTCGTCTACTTGGTCTTTTGTCTATTCCTCACGCTGTCGTTCCTGTCGACTGCACCACTGCCCGATGCCCATGCTTGGCTGGTAACCTGGGTGCTGGCGGTGATCCAGGCGTCGGTGTGGTTTCGGGATTCCTTCAGTGATCCTTTAGAGGCCTGTTCGTGGCCTCAAACTGGGATCTCAAAAAGGTCACTCTGAAGAACCAGGTGCATGTATAATATATTATATAAAGGGACCAGATGGGGATTCGCGGTGTTCGTTTAATTTTACGAAATCCACTTGTTGAAGAGCTTAAATGATCCAGTGAGAGTTTCTCAAGAAGCTTGACACATGAGAAGTGCATCCTGGTAGACTCGATGTGGGGATGTGGGATGGCTCACAAGATTTACCACCCACCGGGGTTGATGTTGCCCGGCAGATTTTGGGCTCCTGCAGCCTGACGTAGCCCACTGAGGACAACAAACACTGTGACGCATGCATCCTGAGAATGTTCAAAGCAAATGATCCTGGACGGAGTTAGAACACCAAGAAATTATGTACAAAATCTCCTTTGTGCATGGAGTGTTTTGATAAATACCCCCTAACAATAGTGTTGGACTGGACGTGCAGGCCCTGCTCATCATACCGATGCTCGCCGCATTTGGCACCTTGGGTGCGATCCAGTGCAGGGCCCGACCTGGGTGCGATGCCTTGCTTGGCTGGTGCGGCAAATTGCTTTTGACATGGGTTTTGCTTGGTCATGGGTTTGAAGACCAGCCCGTTTGCCGTTGGTGATCGACCTGGAAGAGGAAGATCGTTTCAACCATTTCTTGTAGGGTGATGTGCTTGTTTTTGACTCCGATGCGCCTGTTGACTCGTGCATGTGCACGGATTCATGTGCCGTAAGTTGAGGCCTTTGCATGTTCGTGGGCGTCTACCTGCGATGCGACCCAGCCGGAGCCGAGGAGATCAAGAAGTCCCTGGGCTTCAGTCTCGAGGGGTTTGCGCTCTCGATGTTTCCGGGGCTGATTTTTTGGGACTTGGGAAACATCTAGAAGTAAAGTGGCCTCAGTCGTGGCCTCAAGATCGCAAAATCATAACAACTGTAGAGACTCAGCGAAGCATGGATATGTGGACACATGTGGACACATGTGGACACTATGTTCTGGGAAGACCACCGCTGTCCTTTGCAAGCGAGGGGCGTTCCACTTCCATGCGAGCCAGAGCGGCCGGGTGTTAGGAATTAGTGCAGAACGCACCAGAACCCTCGAGTTCAGATCCATGTCCAGGTTGATAGATTGGGAAGAGGCATCAGGCATCAAACTAGAGCTGTTAAGCAATTGCCTGCAGCAACATGTTTTGGGGCACAAGCAGCTCACCACCATTATATAAGGTCCCTTGAAGGGTTACAGACAAACCTCTTGAGGCTCGAGACGACATGGAAGCTGCATGGACAAAGGGCCAATGTCAATACTGTTACGTACGTAAGTCACCTAGGATATCCTAAGGGAAGAATACTGTAATTAGATGCCCCTTGGCGCCGAATCTTCTCTCGACTGCTCGTGCTGAATCATGTCGACAATCGTGATGTACACATTCAAAACAACAAGGTAACACATAATCATAGAATGATCACTACACTCCCCCTAGCGAGAACGTTTTTTGGCCCCCGTTTCTCCAGAGTGAAGTCATTTGCACCATGCATCGGACAAAATTTGGGAATAATGATAATCGAATTCGGTCACTTCTCCTTCGCACTAGTAACAAGAAACTACTAATTATATACTAGTAACAGGAAACTACTAGCCTGGCAGTGTAGCACGGTGTGGACCGTGTAGCACGGTGCAGTGCTGAACTGAACGAGGTTGCGGCAGATCATCATGGAGCCGCCGCCAGTGGTGAGCATTTGGGACGGGGACATCATGGATGACACCTATGGTGCCCATGGAACCTGGTCTCCAATGCCCTACACTCCCCCACATAATCACTAAGTGCCCTTGGATGACTATATGATACTATATGCAAACAGGTGGTTTTCCACTGCCATGACTATTTCAGGGAGTGTAGGGACTCACTGCCACCCTTTCTTTTGGAGGGAGAACATTGGTAAGCAATGGTAAGCAGGGAGACACTTTTGTATGGCGCATAGGGATGGTTGTGATGCTTTGCGTTCGTTGTGATGATTGTTTTTGTGGCTGTGGTTGTCATATTATGTTGTCATCGTAGTTGTAATGTTTCTTGTTGTTCACTGGGGGCGAACACATCATCACCACATCGTACCGAAAGTTCCTGCGGCAATGCGTTGGAGAGTTGTAGACATCCTTGCTTTTGACAGTTCGAAAAATTCTAGACTCATTTGTTCCCACGCACTTGTCCTTTGCATGGCTTCTAGAAACCGCATTTGCAGCGGGAGCTCGCCCACAAGCTATGCAGCTGTACCGGGCCATAGATCACCATAGATCCATGAACTCATCTCCATTGGCCTTACTACTAGGAGCAAGAAGCTACTAGTAGCAGAGGGCATCGCTACTAGGAACAAGAAGCCACTGGCCTTACTACTAATAGTAGCAAGA